GTAATGCTTTGTATATATATGGATTTGACTGAATGATATGTTTTCGTTTTGCCAAAAAAGAAAAAACTCAAAAAATCTTGTCCATGAGTTGAGGAAGTGCGTAGAAACAGTGGCAATAGTTGCATATGATCATGGGAGTATTGCCATGAAATTACTTTTGCCACTAGATATTTATAATTGCGTGGTTGAGAAGAAAAGTATATATATGCCACATTAGTGTCAACCATGCATGTTAGTGGAAGGTCCATTTGTTCCAAAGATTTGCTCCAGTATTTTCTACATCTTCCACCGATTAATTAATGCTTTTAATTTTATTTAAATCCCTAATAATTAATTGAAAAGACTCAGGATCCAAATTAATCTCTCGACTATACTGATTTTATAATTTTGATTCTCAATTGTTTATTTTTCTTCGTGAAGTCTTAATTAACTATAAAATTCTTATATATTTTAACCATTCAAATATGGGAGCAATTAAGTAATTTACATGCTTTTTCCCCTTCCCCAGTTTCAGAATATTAATTAATTGTTCTTATGCAAGTATATAACAACTTTAATTTTATTATAAAAAAAAAAATGTTTTAAGGTTCCAAAAGTTGTCAAAGAAGGTTGCAAATTGGGAAGCATGAAAATTATTTCTCTACCCTACGATTTGACAGGGGCTTAATATAAGAATTTTATAGTTAAATTTTTTACTAAACAAAATAAAAAAAAAAAATTAAGAAACAAAACGGTACGTACTCCATAGCTCTCACTAAGTTTACCTTCTAGCGTGACAATTTAATAAAAAAAAAAAATTGTATTCATTTAGTGCATTAATTAATCAACTCCATTTTGAATTTAAAAATGTTTTTTTTAAATTAAATGATCATATAATATAACAAGAGACGAATATTTTGAAAAATAAAATTAAAAATTAAGAGGGTGAGGGTGTATGTATAGCATTAATTTTACCTCTAATTGACAATCACTATAGTCATCGGTCTACAAATTAAATGTTTGCCTTTGTCGTTATTGTTGTTGAAACATTGACCTTGTTGCGACAGTGATCATGGGTAGAATTGTACTTAACGTAAGATCAACATTAAAGTTAGCAGGCACTTAATAAATTATTTTGAGTAAGGCTGCATGTATATATTTAACTATTTATCTATGCAAACACTTTCATTTTTAAAAGTGGATACTCTCAATCACCAAATTAAGCAGCTACGCAACCTTTTGTCAGAGTTGCAAACTTGCAACCGCTGCAGTTGCAAGTTTGCAACCCATGTCATCATTTAAAAAAAATTGCTTCTCAATATGTCATGTCATATTGCAAATGTCTAAATTTCAGGGATAAATTTAGCTTAATCCCAAGAGACCCAACAATGATTTTTGAGAGGTTTTTAATTTTGTGATTTGATGAAAAAGAGATTGAGTTGGATAGAAAAAAACGTTAGAAAGAGAAAAAAAAAATAGTAAATTGACCCTATATGTTTTCTATTAAAATTTTCAACTATTTATAAATTCTAATGACCAACTATGATCGTCGTCACTTTTTAAAAGACATTGTTCTCATTTGATCATGTCCCATATATATATATATATATATATATATATATATATATATATATATATATATATATATATATATGTATATATGTATGTATGTATATATGTATGTATGTATGATAGCATTGTTTAAAAAAAAAATCCCCCTTTTTTTCTCCCTCTCTCCTTATGTGGCATGAAAATCATGCAAAAACTTGCGTTGATGGAATTTTTGGTAGGGAGAATATTAAAATTTAAAAAAAGAATTGATATAAAAAATTTGTTAACATTTTCTTGATTAAGTATATTTTATTATAAATTATTATTTAAAAACAAGATCCGTGCATATGTTGGAATGAAGGTGACAAAATATCATCATAATAATTTTTTTAATTAAAAAGTATAGAAAAAGCTTTTGAGATCATGATCTGATATTAATATTTTCAAGTGTCAAAAATTTATTTTGTAATAGTAAATATGTATAATGATGTGATTGTGTGAATCACGAGACAAAAGTTGCCAACTCTTAAAAGGATATGCCGATACCACTAATCTTTCGCCCATTGTAAGTTTTCTTGAACATAGGTTTACAATGTATGTGCCTTTATTTATCTTGATTGTATTGTAATATAATTCTATTATATTGCAGGGCGTTATGCAATCGAGAAGTATCACACATGCATGGTTATTATATGAAGAAACGAAATTATTATTTCAGTATATATAAAGCAAACAGTTAAATAAATTACGGAGTATTTGACATAGTTTTGCATATATAAAACTTCTCCCAAAAGATTTAACCCCAACCTACGTCTTCATGCTTATTTTATATATATATATATATATATATATATATATATATATATATATATATATATATTAGTAATTAATTAATTTAAATTGTGTAGGTCTAGAAGAGAACACGTATGTTGAGTAACACTCGAAGAACTTATGCATCTTAAGTTATAAAATCATGCACATTAAGTTTAAACTGATGCACCTTAAACTAGAAATGTGACGCACTTAAAACTATGAAAGACGCACCTTAAAGTTTTTTTTTTTTTTTTTTTTTTTTTCTAAAAACACATATTAAGTTTTCAACTGAATAACTTATGTACCTTAAGCACAGAAACCACACATCTTAAGTTTGACCAATACGCAAAAAGATCAAATTGTCATTGCGTTTTTTAAAAAAATTTCTTCAATCTGGGTTGTTGATTTTGTCTAGATCATTGGCTGATTTCTCTCTCTCTCTCCACATATATATATATATATATATATATATATATATATATATATATATATATATATATATAAACTAAATTTACAATATTTTATTTATATTGTATAGCGCACACACATGTCCCAGGAATCATTTCCACATAATACTTTCCTAAATTTTCATATAAACACTCATTTTGTTTAATTTAAATTTATAATTTATAATATTTAATACTAATATAATAAAATGGAATGTAGAGTCCCTTGTAGTTTGATAGTATCACTATTAATATTCCAAACACTTACTTTAGATAAGTTAGATTGTAGTCATAACAAAAAAAAAAAGAGTTAATTCCACTTTTGGTACTAAATTTATAGGTGTCAGTCCACTTTTAATCTTTTTTACCAGAGCATCTATATTTGGTCATAGTATTATTGTGACATAACTATTTTTTATCATCCGTCAACAAAATTGTTGAAATATCGTTTAATACAAAGACATTTCAATTATTGTTATACAAAGTGAGTTGGCCCCGCTATATTTTTACTTTTTTATATTTATTTTTTTTTTTGAAAAAATTCGTAAATCGAAGACCGATGTAACTTTGTATTTAACGACATTAAAACTGTTTTTTGTAAATAGAAGATAAAAAATGATCATACCACAATAATATTATCCTAGGACTAAATATGAATGTTCTAATAAAAAATGACTAAAAGTGGACTAGCACTTAAAAATCCAAGGCTAAAAATATAATTAACTCAAAAAAGAACATAATAAATTGGAATTCATTGTATCAACTTCTAACCGCTAATCTGATCGTATGACATAAATATCGAACATAAATTCATGTAATTAAGTAGCATTTCTTTCAAGATTTGGTGGCATAATGGTACCAAGATTGGACTTTCATATAAAAAGTTGTGAATTCAAGTGTTAGTGGAGATAATATTAACTCTTTGTGTTAAGTAGTTATGAACAGATATTACATTGTAATAGAGCCAGTAGCATTTCTTAATGTTACAAGTCGTTGAAAGATTATCCCCGTTCAAAATTTAAAATCAATCAGATTTTGTGCAGTGGCTAAAAAGTAGGGCCATTAACTATTATGCTGTCATAATAACATTTGTTTATATATTATGTGGTTCATAGAAATATAATTAATAGAGACAAAAAAAAATATAATTAATTAAGATTTTTTTTAAGTGATGAGAAAAATTTGTAACCATTTTATAAAGGTTTGTACAGGATAAATTATATTTTTAGGTAATAATTTATAAATCATCATACAATACAGGTAAATAAGACTTATCTAGAGGAGTAAATTGAATAAATCTTGTTTCAATGTAATAATCTACAAATCACTACACATAAGGTAAGAACGGTAAACTACGTACCTAAAAGCGTAAATTAGATCAATATCGTTATTATGTAATAGTCTGCAAATCACTTCAATTTGATAAATCACGTTCCCATATAATTATTCAAGGTAATCTGCATTGAGACACTAAAGTACGAGTCATATATGACCTGTTGGATCACCTATTTAAGGGCAGAATTAATTAACTTCTTTGTTATGTAGGCATATAAATACTCCGTACCATCTAGATTAGTAGCTTAACCCCATTTCCAAAAGCCAACTTGCTAATTTAAATCCTCCATTAAATTGCTAGTTGATCTTGCACACAGCTGACTAATCCCCAGAAATCGGATAGATACATAATAGAATATTAGATATAATCAATGTCAAATGAATTTGGGATCAAGTTCTGACGTGTAGCCTACCGCGACAACATATGTGATTGCCCCTCCTTTAATCACGAAAACATGTCATGTCACATGTACATAGATTGATATTTGGTTATAGTTTTTTTTTTTTTTTAATTTTAAATACTACTAACTCTAATATAATTTATATATCTCATATGTTCAAACCTCGATGAGTATTAACTCTTTAAACTATAATTGATATAAAATTATAAATAATATTTCTCTTTAAATAATATCTCTTTGGGTTAAATTATTTTTCGTAAATTATTTGAGTCGCTCATTACACATTTCAATATTTTTCGCATTATTATGGACCTTATTTTGACTTTATTTATGCCATAAATTATTATTATAAAATTATTATTATGAGATAAAGTTTTGTAAAAAATCTTATCGGGATGACAACCCTGGTTAGCCTTATCCATAGTTAAACTAACCATACTGGAACAGAGAGTTGAGAGTGCTATAAATTGAAGACATCATTTCCTCTCACCACACCCAAACCTTCCATTATTATACTGTGTATGGTTGGACCATCCCGTTCCGTTTCGTTCCGTAATTCCATCTTCCACTCTTCACCTTCTTCATCATATCCCCTTCCTTTCTGGTTCGTTCTCGCCTTCTGTGATCCCACTTTAAATCATTAATGTTCACGAATTTCGTGTTTTTAATTACTGCACGCCGGCCGGTTTATACTATACCGCCTGAGAATTGAAACTGTTTTGCAGGGAGAAATAATGGCGGCGGCGAACAACGGAGAGTTTAGCTTCTCCACCGCCGGAAAAGGGCGGAATGGACTGCCGAAAATCCAGACGCAGAAGACGACGAAGGAGGACGAGATCTGCCACGACGACAGCGCGAAGCCGGTGAATGCTAAGACGCTGGAGGAGTTGCACTCGCTGCAGAAGAAGAAGTCCGCCCCTACCACCCCGCTCACCGGAACTCAGACCGCCTTCGCCGCCGCCGTCTCCGAGGAAGAGCGGCAGAAACAACAGTTGCATTCCATCAGGTAAAAACACGCAAGAAAATTAACTTAATTTTTCCTCGTAAAAGTAAGATCATAAACTTAGTTAACTCGAGTTACCGTAATTAATGGGCAGCTTAAATGATAAGCTTACCTCATACATTACTATTGACTAACAACCCAGAAAGCCGTGTTGACGTGGCGCTTATTTAGTCAAGGCCAGACCGTCAGACACGTATACGTTTAGTGTTGACGTATTGTCATATGAATACGATGATCATATCCGTTATCTCAACTTTTCTTTTCTTTTTTTAAAAAAATTTACTCAAAATTTTATGATATTATAATAAGAAGTAAAAATGGTTAGAATAAAATATTATTGGATTTTGGGTTTATTTATTTATTTATTTTAAATTTGGATAAAATTCAGTGCTTCGTTGGCATCGCTGACGAGGGAGACTGGGCCGAATGTGGTGAAGGGAGATCCGGCGAGGACGACGCCGGAGACGCCGCGGGTGTCACATGACTCGCACGTGAGTCACCATCATCACGCGCCGACGCTCAACATCAGTGACAGTTCCCTCAAGTTTACCCATATTCTCTACAATCTTTCTCCTGCTGGTAAATCTTTCATTCTGACTCGGCTTTCCACTTTTTTCTGTCAAGCGTAATTATTACTGCGGTGATTTTTTTTTTTTTTTTTTATAAATTTTCTGACAAACAAAAGTCAACATCTTGATTAATTGTTTAATTAGTTTAAGATTTTTTTTGAAGACAATTAGTTTAAGATAAAACGTGTGCTTTGCCGTACAAATCTCTGCTTTAATTTGTTGCATTTTCCAAATATTTAATCTTTTGTCCATAAAACGTGTGCTTTGCCGTACAAATCTCTGCTTTAATTTGTTGCATTTTCCAAATATTTAATCTTTTGTCCAATGTTTAATTTGATGATGGGGGATATTACAACAGTTATACCATGTACCCGGGCCCACCTTGCAAGATGGACTCGGTTTCGAAATACACAATTTAACTACGGAAAGTTCACAATTTAGGTACTGAAATCCGGGTCCATAGAATAATTTGTCGGGATATTAGAATATACTCCGCAGCACATTTTAGAATTCCTAGGAATATATAAAAAGATTATATTCTAATCTCGAGAGTCTAGGAGCTTTGTTGTCCTTACTTGGCATGTGTGATGAAAGAGATAAATCTCGAGTTGTGTCAGTCATTTACAAATGACTAAATTAGTCACGTCTCAAACGTTTCATGTAACTTAGTAGTCTCTTCCTAGGATAACGTTGGAAATCATTGTCTGTTAAATGCAGAGCTTTATGAGCAAGCGTTGAAGTATGAGAAAGGTTCGTTTATCACGGCCAGTGGTGCACTGGCTACACTGTCGGGAGCCAAAACAGGTCGCTCCCCGAGGGACAAGCGTGTTGTTAAGGATGACAGTACCAATGATCTTTGGTGGGGAAAGTAAGTTAATAACGTTTTCTTGATTTTGTGTCAAGAAATACTTTCACTCTTAATTCTAATGGTGCTTTATTCTTGTAGTAAAGTTGGTGGAATTTATGACGTTTTGTGCCTTTTTTCTTGTAGGGGCTCACCTAATATTGAAATGGACGAACATACTTTCTTGGTGAACAGAGAAAGGGCTGTTGATTACCTATGCTCTTTAGAAAAGGTATGAACTTTACCCAAAAATATTCTATTTTAATGTAATCTTGTGATTCTTGGCTTGCTAAAGGGTTCTTTGTGGTAACAACACTATATTTGTTACTGTATCTATTCTTGTACTGGATATAATAGGGTGCTTCCTGGTAATAGTACTAGGCTGGCCTTCACCACATCGTCTTTTTGAAAGAATAATGTTTTGGGTCCCAACACGGATTTCGTGGGGAATGGAATATATGGGATTATGGGAATTTCAGAAGTGCGGTATGGTGGGGGGATGATATGTGATTCCTAGTAAATGACAGCTCGAGAAATTCCCATAAGAGCAGATAGGAAGTATATGGTTGTTGTTTTCCTTATCATAATTGAGTTCTTTCATGCTAGGGGCCATCTGCTGTCTCCAATAGTACACCAAGGTTTAATGTTATTAGACTGTACTTTTAATTTGTTTAGAACATCATAGTACACAGCTGAAGATTGTGTCTGGGATTTGCATTTTTCGCTATATGTGCTAAAGAAAATTTATATGTATTACAGATTTTTGTGAACGATCAGTTTCTGAATTGGGATCCGAACAACCGTATCAAAGTTAGGATTGTGTCTGCAAGAGCTTATCACTCCTTGTTCATGCACAACATGTAAGCACCTACCTAATCGAGAATATCTTTGAAGTTTTGTTTTTTACAGGCCACCAGATAAGTATGCTATTTCAAAAAAAAAAAAAAAAAAAAAAAAAGATTGAAGGTAGTCGAGAATACAAGATGTTAGTTAGTGCATACAATAACTAGGTCGGTTACAGGTGTATCCGACCCACAGCTGAAGAGCTGGAGAATTTTGGTACTCCGGACTTCACTATATACAATGCGGGCCAATTCCCATGTAACCGTTACACCCACTATATGACTTCCTCCACTAGCATAGACCTCAATCTTGCTAGACGGGAAATGGTCATCCTTGGCACACAGTATGCTGGGGAAATGAAGAAAGGTCTGTTCAGCGTAATGCACTATCTAATGCCTAAGCGTCAAATCCTCTCTTTACACTCGGGATGCAATATGGGAAAAGACGGAGATGTAGCCCTCTTCTTTGGATTATCAGGTATATATAGTGTGCAGGGGTCGATGACTTATCCCTTAAAGGAGACCTGCAACCGTACAGTCCCGATATGTGCTCTCTAACCTTTACGACTCTTTACCACTTTTATGGTCCGCTTTGTTGCTCATTTTGTACTTTTGTTTTTTTCGATATGTGTTTATAGGTACGGGAAAGACGACATTGTCTACGGACCACAATCGGTACCTGATTGGAGATGATGAACATTGTTGGAGTGATTATGGTGTATCGAACATCGAGGGAGGTTGCTATGCGAAATGCATTGACCTCTCGAGGGAGAAAGAGCCCGATATCTGGAATGCTATCAAGTTTGGCACGGGTATATTTTGCACGGTTTTTAACTTTTAACTAGGCGTTTTTGCAACTATCAATCGGTACCAATTCCAATGCCATTTCTCGTGTTTTGCAGTCCTAGAAAATGTGGTTTTTGATGAACACACTCGCGAAGTCTACTATGAAGATAAATCTGTAACAGGTAATTCCCCAGTACATTGGCAAAGTGTTCTCTATTCGAAGAATTTTTTACTTGGCATTGAAGCATGTGCTCCATCTCAACTAAAAGCTTAAGCTAATAGTTGGATTGCACATTAATGGTTATATGCTCAACACGCACACGTGCCTGATACCAAATTGAAGCATGTGTTCCATCTCAACTAAAAGCTTAAGCTAATAGTTGGATTGCACATTAATGGTTATATGCTCATCATGCACTCGCTATCAAACGAACATTTTGTTCTTGTATTGCAGAGAACACTCGGGCAGCATATCCGATAGAATACATTCCCAACGCTAAGATTCCGTGCGTTGGTCCTCATCCGAAAAACGTCATTCTTCTCGCCTGTGATGCCTTTGGTGTGCTTCCACCCGTGAGCAAATTGAATTTGGCTCAGACGATGTACCATTTCATTAGTGGTTACACCGCTTTGGTACACTACAAACCTCGAGAATCTGTTATCTGTCACTTCCTGTAACCGAACAAAACTAAAGAACTTTTATAATTTTCTTTTTGATGATTCGAAAGGTGGCTGGAACCGAGGATGGTATAAAGGAACCTACTGCGACATTCTCTGCGTGCTTCGGTGCAGCGTTTATAATGTTCCATCCCACCAAGTATGCGGCTATGTTGTCTGAGAAGATGCAGAAACAGGGAGCAACCGGATGGCTCGTGAACACTGGCTGGTCGGGTGGAAGGTATAAACATTAGATATATATAAAACATGTCGGGATTACGAGTTCTGGATATGGCTAATGATCGACTTGAACGTGCAGCTATGGAGTTGGCAGCCGTATAAAGTTGGCGTACACTAGGAAGATCATTGACGCAATTCACTCCGGGAAACTCTTGGAAGCGAACTACACAAAGACTGAGGTGTTTGGCTTCGAGATCCCAACAGAGATCGAGGGAGTGCCTTCTGAAATCCTGAACCCCATCAACACTGTAAGTGACTTTTCATTGCCAGATAATCTTTAAGAGTCGAATCGCTTTTCTCACAAGAACGAGTTTCTATTGATGCATTGTTTCGTGGCAGTGGCCCGACAAGGATGCCTACAACAAAACCCTGCTCAAGTTGGGAGGGCTGTTCAAGAACAACTTTGAGGTGTTCCTGAACTATAAGGTTGGGGCAGACAACAGCCTGACTGAGGAAATTCTGGCGGCTGGTCCGAACTTCTAAGGCGATAAACCCGGCTGCTGGTTGCAAAGGATGATGCCGAAAAAGATTATCAAGAAATAAAGTTTTATGAGCAGACTTTGTAATGTTGAGTGTTTTTTTTTTTTTTTTTTAAACTTGTTTTCATTTCTGTTTTGAGTGGTTAGGAGCTTTTTACATTCTTTGTTTCTGGGGTTTTCTCCCCTAGTGTACTGCTGCAGATTTTCATCTGCTAATTATACTGAAAAGTGAAAACCCCAGCTTGTTTTAAGCATCTGCTCAAGTTATATTTCCCTTCAAAATCTATTCTTGAGGAGTTTGGTTAACATATTTTCAAGAATTTGGGTTTCAGCATATTTAGCAGCAGAGATCTTGAAAACCTAATGTTATGTTGTCAAGTTCAAGGGAAAACAAAAAGGGTATATATAATATATTACAGTCAAGTGTGGGTTTCATCACTAGGCAGACTCGGTTTACCTTCTCGATTCATGAGATTCTAAATATAGTATGGTTAATGAAAGAGATTGGATTCTTGATTTACCTTCTCGATTCATGAGATTCGGAATATAATTTGGTTAATGAAAGAGATTGGATTCTCGATTCATGAGATTCGGAATATAGTCTGGTTAATGGAAGAGATTGGGTTTTGCTTCAAATGTGGTTAGTAAACCTCACAAAGTGATACACAGTAGTGAAGAAAGATAGTACAACGGCAAACAAGATGATTTGGAAGGGGAAGAAAAGAGAGTATTTCAGGTGACGTGATTCAAATAAAAAACATTAATACAGATTGAAAGTCAGATAAAAACTTTAAGCTCAATAGTCTTTCATAGCAACTAAATTTGGGGGTGTAAACAGTGAGACTGAAATAAACCCTGGAAACTCCAGTGTTAGATCTCAATTATCAGTTTAGCTTCTTCCACATACACTATAATCCAAAAAAAAAAAAGGGAAAAAAAGAAAAAGAAGAGCTGATGGAAACATTATCAGTCTCTGCAACGAAGAACAGAAATTTCAAGATTCGCTTGATGTGGCTACATCATCCTTGTGCTTAATCATGCCAGAATCAACCAGAACTGGAATTTCTGCCGCGAGCCATGGTGCCAGACCCAAACAGAGTGCGTGCGCTATGCCAAATCTCGGGCTGACAGAACAAAACTCAACAGTCACATAGAAGAACCACACTTTCAGATACAAACTACTGAACTACAAACAGGAAAATATTAAGTTTCAGAAGTAAAAGCTGCCCCATCACATAACAAAAGCCTATGGAATTCAGCTTCCAAAAGCAGAAAACGAAGTAAGCATTTCATCTTATAAACAAACAGGGAAATTGTATGATCATCTGAGGCATCATACCTCAAAATGGACCATATATTTTCCTATGATACTATCTATGAAGACTATGCTATTATTTTAGAATGTCCAAACATGACCATATATTGGGGCTGCCAGAATATTATTTAACTAAGAACTAAAAAACACAAATTTAGAATGACAAAGTTTCTGTTTATTTCATTTCTTTCATTCTAAGGTTTCCCATTAAAATTCACAAGTGTTTCAACCAGTATAACCGGAAAGAGACTTCCTATACATCAAAGTTGCTGGAAACCTTTACCAATTTAAATCTTCGAAAGCAAAGCTTAAAAACGAGAAATTTACCAATTTTTCGCCCACAATGGTTTGAAATGCACTGTCAAGCAAATCTTTCCTCCTCTATACATCTACATTAATCGGAAAACAAGTAATCAAAATTAGAATACAAATTCAAAAAATTATATTTGTAGCAAAGCAAATTGAAGAATACAGAATACGGGAATAATTATTATTAAAAAAAAAAAAAAAAAAAAAAAAAAAAAAAAAAAAAAAAAACCTTCTCGGTCTTGCCATCGAGCTGGGGCAACTCGAGCTCGGGGGCGGTGGCGGGATAAGTGACGGGGATATCGAACTGGAGATCGAATTCATACTTGAGGAGGTTATGAATGTACCAGCACTTGCCGGTCCAGCGAGTGCCCTCCGGATTGGCAGCGGAGATCCGGAACCAGTCGTTATCCTTGGACTTGTTCATCGACGTGTAGGCGATCAAAGCCTTGTACTCCTCCTTCAGCCGCTGCGTCCAGGCGCCGCCGTCACGGGGGCCGGCCTTCGTCGTCAGCAGCGGGATCTGCGTGAGCGTTGACTTCGTATTCGGATCCCAACCCTCCATTATCAGACCCGAATTCCTGGACAAATTCGATTAGTTTTTAGTGTTCTTTGACTTCGTCTCTATCGAGGAAGAAGGCGTTAGTTTTACGAAGACGACACTGGGAAAGTTGCCGTTTCTAGGAATACCAATAATTTGACCATCTTCACGTCAATTGTATTTATATTTAATTCCCCTCTAATTTTATAAATTAGATAATTTTGACGTCAATTGTATTTAATTCCCCTCTAATTTATAAATTACATAATTTTGTGATTTGGAAGGGATCAATTTACTTTTCTTAGAATGAGTTACTAGAAGATATTAAGATCGGTAGACAAAGTTCAATTCAAAAAAATCCAACTTATTCTTATTTTTTCATTTTTAATACGGAGTAGTTCTTTTATGAATGTTGGTGGTTGTATTCACATTTTAAACCATCTAACATGAAAGAATGCTTCATTCACAAATCGCAAGTGCATCAACAGTCTTATTTGGATCAATTTACATTAAATTAATTAAAATTTAAATTATTTAGTAAATATTAAAAATGTAAAAAATTATAAAAACACATATTTGACAACTTTATACTCCATACTATATATCACACTTTAAGGCTTTACTAGAGCGTATTTGCTAATGCGCTCCTCCATAGTACAATATCCCTTGCTTCGGCTTCACCTAGCACCGACCTTGATTGGAGCAATAGAGGAAGAGAATGAGGCATCAACCTTTGATTTATGAAAAAGCCTGCAACTTCCACTCAAATGTGCACTCTAAGTGAAGTTCTCCTTATGAGCTTAACTGACAAAAGACTACAATGACAACTTTGATTATTTATAACTAACTAAATTAAATTAAAAAGTTAATAGACAACTTTTTAAAAAATTAATTATTAATAATTGTCTAATTAACTTGATTGGGATTACTCCAAGACATAAATAGTACAGATTATGAAAACAGCTAAATGAACACTCATTATCACTTATGTTACATCATACCTTCATTGAAAAAAGTAAGAAAAAAAGTACATAACTCGATCGAATTATTATAAGAAAATTATATTATAAAAATACTTATCTATCACGTCGAGGCGAAGAATTAAATACAGAATTCTACAATATAAATTTTATCCTTCTGGAAGTATATCTTTGTTGTTATCATGATTGGCACACATTCACATATAAAGGGAAAAAGTGCAAAACAAATAAAATGACGGGTCTGACATGTCCTTTTATTATAAAGGATATAATATAATTTTACCACTTGAGTCAGCAAACCTTTAATGAGAGATGAAAATTGACTTCGTGCTTTTCGTAAATCGAAGAAATGGAAATCACAGTTAACAAGGGAGACTAATTTTCATACGACAGCAAGTTTGTTTCATTTGCAGGAACATCCACAATTCCTCTGAAGGTATTGAAGAAACAGCAACCAGTAAGCCCCCAAAAAAAGGAATATATATAGCTTCCAATCATTATTTCATGGACTATGCTCCACACATTTGTGTAAACTAACCATAAATTAAAAAAAAAATTAATATATTAAAAGTACATTATTTATATACATAAAAGCATATTATTTGAAAATATATGATTTTTTATATATTATTATCAAATAATGGACATCAGACAGGAATAATATCCCATAAGGAAGTACAAAACCAAAGGTTCATCATCCCATTTTCCTGAATGACAGTATTTGCTTCTTTTGGTAGTAAAACACCATGATCATATCATATGCTCTAGGATTATGGAACTTCAACAAAATAACTATCACACACACACAAAAAAATCGTTTTCCATCCTCGTGCTTAGGACATTGGAGCATGAAAAAGAATCGAGGTGTCATTAGTTTATCAAATACCGGCCTGCAGTGAGTAGTGATTACTAGTCCTCATCATGAAAACACACCGACATATTTATAGATAGCAAGGAGAATAAGAGAGCTAAATTTATATTTCAAATGCACTTGGCATGTTCAGTTCTAAGAATTATTGTGGAAAAAGCTTCATCATTTAATCCTTCAATTCCCTCAAGTCTACTATGTGTGAGGTTAGGGTGATAAGTGAGATTTAATTATCTCTGGAAAAAGGGAATAGGTTTATATAAGAGTGGAAGCAAAAATGAGATGTTGCATGCACCTCAACTTGGTCTTCTTAGCATCTGGTTCAGATCCCATCACATGGCAGGTAAAGTTACATGAAGGTTCTTTAGAATCAACCAGCCTTTTGGGTAAACAAGTTTACGACCTTCCAAATGGAGGTGCCAATTCAGTACCCTTGAACAACCAGAAGGTACTCCTTCCATTTGACTTTCATCTCCTACAAGTTGTTCTATGAAGGTGGTCTCCTGCACATAACCATAATGAATAACTGCCTTGCATCCTGAGTTAATTAATGAATACCAAGAAAAAGAGACAAAGAATAAGGCATATGCATACCTGAAAACCTTCTTTCACAGTGTCTAATTGCCGAATTGGACTGGCAGTAGGCCGATGCCATCTTTTTGGATCCCATAGCATAGTACTATTAAAGGCAAAGCCAGACATATCAACATGAAATCTTCTAAGTTGTTTACTCTTCTCATTTGTGTGCCATCCGATAACTCGGCTTCCATTACAGATAGGACCTTCCAGTATTGCTTTGTTTTTGCTTTGTGCCAGCATAGCTACAGGCCAAGTGCCAAAACGACTGGAAAGGGGAAAAAAAAGTTACTCCATAATGATAATAGCAAATAATCACAATATTAAAGATGTGAAATAGCACATTCCAAGAACAGTCAGAAAAATTTAAACTGCCCTGCATTCAGAATTCACTGTTAATGGTGCATTATGTGAGATAAACAAGTTTTGATGGAAAACTACAAAATTATAGAAGTTTGAAGCAAACCAGATTGCTGCATATAAATCAATATTTTACAGCATGATAATTGATAGGGGTTCCAATCCACATATAAGTAAATTGTAACCACTTTAAGGATTTATCTATCTCCTTGTGATTGTTAGCCGAGAATATAACATCCACTATGACTAATCTCAAAGTAATTATAGCACATAGACAAATGCGAATGATGTTGAATAGAACGGTTGCAATATTGCCAGTGTCTACCAAATTACCTGATATTCCTAATGTTCTTAAACAACTCAAGTGAATAGATATTGTCATCATCTGCAAAGTAAACGATTCCATCAAGCCTATGGCGTTCAATGTGCTCCAATGCAGTGTTCCTCTGATGAACACCCCGGTCCTTTATATCTGCCATTTCCTTGGAGCACACAAGATGTCTATACACAACACCGGTCTCCCTCAAAATCTCCGCGGTCTCTGATGAAGCCGCATTCATCTCAACCACAATCCATAGCAATGGCGGCTGCACGAGCCTCAGAACGTGCCCCAATCTACTCAAATCATATGTTTGCATTGCCCTGGGATATGTAGGAGTTACAACAATCAATTGTTTCTGCGGAATAACATCAAACCTTGCATGCACTTCAATCTTCTTGTGTACTTGTACTAGAGAAGTATCAACGGCGGATTTAGGTCTAGGCATTATTACTGTATCCTTCAACTCCCTCTCACCATTTGTTGGGGGAGGTTTCACTTCAATTGAGGAATAATTGCTGCTGTTCACATCTTCAAGATCACCAAAAGGTATTATGCCTATTAAAAATCCTAGAAAGAAGAAAATCAAACACCTATAAAGCGATTTCCTCCATGAAAAAACTTTCTTCGAATACCGCACCCCACGGAGTAAGTTACCGACTGCAAATCCAAATGCAGACAACAGAGATGAGCTTTTGCCGCTAGACAGAAGCTTGTGAGATGGCGAATGAACGTCGAGAGGTAACGAATTCCCTCCGTTCGGATAATGCCGCTCGGGAAATGGCGGGAGAGTTCTCCGGATCGACGCCATCGATAACGAGATGCATCAGCTTAACGAGAAAAATCGGTTCAATGATCTCAACTTCACTAAATAATCCACAAAAAGCCAAAAATTCACTGCAAATAAGTACATACTGAGTCAAGCATCATACCAGTCACGATGAATGCAGACAATAGTAGATCATACCGATACAGAGCACGATTCTTCACTTCAATGTATCGAACTATATACAATTCTCTGCTTCAAGGGAGCTTTTGAAGAAGAAAACAAGCCGATTTTAGTAATAATTTTACTTGAAAATTTTAAACGGAAAGAACTCTAATTTTTCAGTTTTTTTGGCATTTTAAGGAATACGGATTACGGAGTGTAAAGCGAAAGATTCTACCAATCCCACAAATAGAGATTTGTTATGGACGTAAGATTAGCTTTTACCAATTTTAAACTTTTTAAGGTACAGTAAATATTTTATTGTTTTTTTAGTACTATTTTATTGTTACTTTATTTTATTTTTGAAAGGTATTTTATTTTTATTTTTTTTGAAGGGGGTATTTTATTGTTATTTGTGTTAAAAAAATTATTAATAATTATTTCGAGAAAAATGTAATGTATTACTTCAAGAATAATTTGAGTTTTGTCTCAAAAAATGACTGAGTGAGTGATTCTCATATCTAATTTAAAAGTTAGGAGTTTATTACTAACATTTTATTAATATTTATTGTGCAAAATAATAACTAATCTCAAATGAAAATAAGGTTCTAACCCATAACCTCTCATTTGAAAAAGTCACTTCATACAAGACCACAAGATCATTGACAATCAAACATCTATATTATTGAACACAAAGACAAAAATTATCAATAATGTATACTAATAGAATAAAATATTTTTACAATAATTTATGTGCATAATTGGGCTCCAGATGAATTATATTTGGGCTGTTATAAAAACCAATAACATGAAGAGCAATCGTTATACCCTACACCACGACGCACATAGCACTGTGCGTCGCGCGCCTCCCAAAACGACGTTGTTTTGGGGTCGTTTTGGGAGGCGCGGTAGGAAGTTGTTGGGATTATGTGTATTTGTTCACACAGTTGTGTATTTGTTCATATAGTTATGTACATTTTTTTTACAATTATGTACATTCTTTTTATACAATTATGTACATCCGAATCAGAAAATTTGTGTGTATTATGTTAATAGTTGATGTGTATTATGTTAAAAGTTTATGTTTATTATGTATTATATTAGATTATGTGTATTATCTTTTAAAAAGAGTATGTATATTTTGTTATATAATTATGTACATTCATGTATACAATTATGTGTATTTTAGTATAACATTATGTACATTCTTGAACAGCAGGTTTTTTTTAAAGAAAAAACTACTGCCATTCACTGGAGCGGGAAATTTCAAAAAAAAAAAAATTAAAACGACGTCGTTTTGCATCTGGGCGCATAGTGCAATGCGCACCGTGGTGTAGGATATAAATTGCCCATGAAGAGACAATGAATGGTTGAACACCAAGCCTATTGTGCAGGTCTTGGGTTTCAAGCCCAATAGATATCTCTAGTTGGGCCTTACCATTTTTACAGCTTGGTTAATCAGAAATGTATATTTGCAAATTTTTTAGATTTGCCCAAAATGTAAATATCCTCACAATCAATACTTAGGCTTAATATAATGATCAAGAGTCGCCCATGCAAACAATGACCCGGAATTGAGTGTGGGAGTAGGAGTCTCTATGTTCAGATAAGTTATCATGATTTTCGTAACTTTTAGAGACAATAATTATCTCGAGTCTTTTTTTTTTTTTTTTCTTTTTCTTTGTGATTGGTTTCACCTATTTAACTGAGAGTTAAAACTCACATTCTAAATTATCTATCATTCACATGTGTTGTCATCCAATCTTTACATAAATTTACTTCAAAATACATATAGGGAGTAGTGCACCCGTAATGTTGCCTCAGTGTCTCACCAAGTCATAGATGACTTTTAAATTTTATCACAAATTAACTATTTTTTTTAAAAGAACAAAATGGCATTAATTTCCCAACGTAACCATTATATATTCTTCCACTTAAAGAGATATCAAGTCCAATCTTCTTACCATTGTTATATTATATATGTAAATTTATAATTGTAAAGTTAATTTCAATTTAATTTCATCTCATCATTTGGTCAATAGTGCTATGTTGCTGTTGCATATACTACACGCTAGACGTCGATGTTCCCTTGCCTTCTAAGTATATCTCTTGAAGACAATTCAAGCCATTATTTCTTTATTTAATTATTTTTTAAAATTTTCACATGTATTCTAAAAATCTATGAAGAGATAAATTGAACATGTCCAGTTTCAAGACTCAATATCAAACCAACACAACCGTAGGTCATATATAGAAGCCCAATCTCCAGATTGTTCATGGAATTGAATTTACTTGCTTGACCGGTTAGTTGATTAAGTCTGTTCAATCATATTATTAATATGAATATGTTATATTTTGCTACTTCACAATTTGGTTTGCATGTCCTTGGTGAACTTTAATTTCTTAGAGAACTTAGGTATAGGAAAATTACTTTTTGATATTTTATTTCGGGTAACTAAAGAATTTTGATTAAATTTAAATAGATTCACTCCGTCCCGTTCATCTCTTTATATATATTTTCCTTCTTTTTTAAATACAAAAAAGGGAGAAAAAACTCAATTATATTACATGAACTTGGACCTATACCCATGACTTCAACAAGCTAAGCAGCTAAATCTATGACACCTTCAAGAAAAGAGTCGTTGAAGATATAACGATTAAGTTGTAATCAGTCATATAGTATGTAATCCTTTTTCATGTAAATTGGGAGAGCATGCCGATAGAGATACTTTGACTAATAATTAATTAAGAATCCTAGATTATATATATATATATATATATATATATATATATATATATATATATATATGATGCTGGATGGATATGGAAGTTGACATGCATGAAGCTAGGTCAGTGGGTGTTTATGAACATTTGACCATATGTAATACGGGGTAATCATTATGTCTTTGACTCCTTTGAATCGTTAATTGTTTTGCTGGTAGTTATCAAAACCCAACAGTTAGAATACTAGCTTATAACCAATATTTATATAAAGAGATGTATTAGATAAACATCACTTTTACCAGGACTATGTGGTCTAATGGTATCCGGGTTGGACTTCCATTTGGAAGATTATGAATTTGAGCCTCAGTAGAAGCGTTATTGGTTCTTTATACTACAATGTAATAGAGCCAGTAGCTTTCAAAAAAAAAAAAAGATAAACATCACTTCTGTGTAATAACAATGAGATATTATTCTTCCAAAGTTTACCTATCTATCATATTCTACTATTGAATGCTGAACGTTGAATACTAAATGTAAATACATTCTCCGTCTCATGCATTTTATGTGTCGGTTTTAGTTAATAAGGTTTCGCTGAAATTTTAATTTAATTTTTTATAATATTAAGTTTGGCTGAAGTTATTATTTACAATTTAATTTTTTATAATATTAAGTTTAGAATTAGTATGTAAAATTTATATATTTTAATGTAGTTTTCATATTTATCCATGTTTTCCTCATCTCCCTCTTCTATTGGCCGAGGGAAAGATAGAAGACTTTCCCTCCATATAAATAGTAACACATATCCAAAATAATAAAATTATGTACACTCTACCTCCATAATTGTATGTTCTTCAAGTTTAAATAAATCTTGGCCACATACTAATTTAAGCTAACTAGTTTGTAGATGAATATTGATCGTTGATTGTATATCCTCGAAATACCACGTCGCTTGGTATCCCAACGACTAATCAAATTTAAACATTTAATAGAGAAAAAATTCATTGGTGGAATAAATATTACTCCCTCTGTCACATTTTATGTGTTTGATTCAGTTAACGAGGTTTGACTAAAGTTATTTACAATTTAATTTTTACAATATTAAGTTTAGAATTAGTATGCAAAATTTATATATTTAGAAACTACAATGAAGTTGGTTTGACTACTGAATAATCAGTGGGACATATAAAATATAGGACAAACGGGAGTAATTTATTTTCTCTCTTCTCATTCAATAATCATTCAACCAATGTTTTTTTTTTTTTTTTTTTAATTTTTCTCGATTTCTTAGATATTCAAATTTAGTTGGTTTAGATACTAAGTGATATGGTATCTGGAGAATATATCTCTAGGGGTAGTTGTCTTTGCATTTTCAACATGTTGATATTTTTAATTAATGATAGATGTTACTTTTCTGATTTTCCGTTAGTGTCGGAAAGTATGTTAGAAAAGTAATTAGTGTTTATAGAGTTTGATTTCAACACAATCTATGAACCAATTATCATCATGATAATGGATGTGCTTGCTTGTCAACTTTGCCATTTTGAACGTTGGGAACTTTGACCATTGCATTGAAAGCCCCAAATACCCAAAAAGCAATATGAATCCATCCATATATCCATCAATAGAATGAAGCTTTGAGTGTATCTTTTGTGATCCGATCTTATGCTTCCATTCTTCAAATAGTGTTCATGGCTAGGCTACCTTGTTGGACTGCTTTTTTGCCTCTTTCTATTTGTCTTTCTTCTTCCACCTATGATTTCTTTAAATTTCCCAATTAAATACGCACACAAATCCTAGTAGAAAACAACTAAGTATTCCCAAAGTCAAGACAAAATCTTTTGGAGGCAATGTGTCAAATGAAACAGCATTGCGATTGTCAAAAGCAACAAGCAAACCTTTTTTCTCAATTGCTTCATTATTCTCTTTCACTTGTAGAAAGGCATGCAAAAGTGCAATTAATTTAAGCACATTGAAACATGCTGCAGATCAAGGCTTTACTAAGTTGGTGTGGTAGGTCCTATGTCCATTATGGAATTATAGTCTCAATTTGTATTAAAAAAAAATTACAGATCAGGATCCGTGAGACGAGTCGGATCAATATGTAAATGTAATACTTATACCAGTAAATGTAATACTAAATCATGAATAAAATGTTTATTACTTATAAGGAAAAACATAATACTTTTTTGAAGACAAATGTAATACCTTTTTTTATTTTGATGTAAAAATATTACTCTTTTAATCAAAAGTATTATATTTTCCCTTATACGTAACGCTGCACTTAAAAATGAAAATGTAATACTTTGATGAAAATGTAAAAGTATTACATTTTTTCCTTCAACAATATTACATTTTTTCTAAGTAATAAACCTTTATTCCTGATTTAGTATTACATTTGTTAGTATAAGTATTACATTTAATCTTAATCCACTCATCTCAGAGACAAAGATTCGTGAGACAGTTTCACACAAATTTTTACCTTTTAATTATAG